ATGAACTTGCATAAATCTTGATAATCTCTTGAATCTAATGATCATTTCATGCCATAAACACTAAAATGCACTCATTTTATACACTTAAGATCAAACCCATATGAAACCCTAACTCTAACTCAACATGCAATCCATATAACAAGAATGTCAACCAAGAACAAGTGCAAAGAATGGATTATACCTTACTTGATGATCAAATTCTTCAAAGATCTTGTAGTTCTTCTTTGATTTGAGTTGAATCGAGCCTATGTGTGTGTGTGAGTTCTGGACTTAGATGACATGAAAAATGGGCCAAAAATCCAATTTATAATGCTAAAACTCGAGTTGGGCCKGGTTGGCCCGGCTATGTACCCATTTTGACTATCAACACTTAAAATATTCATAACTTTTCGCTCGGACCTCCGTTTTCTATGAGGTTTTCGCCTGCACGTTCATAAAGAGATAATCTATAACATCCAACAAAAAAATTTCAGAAAAGATCTACCAAAAAAATCCATTTTACGTATCTATTTGACGTGATATTTTTCAAATCCTCTAACATATTCTTAAGAAATATAATTCTAAAACTTCAGATCCAAACTCCCACTAAATCATAAGTTCTCTTTAACCCAATAATTAATTATATTAAACAAATAATTGAACATATTATAAATTGGATGTTACATCTAGGATGACTATGAATAGAAATTTTGCATTTCATAACCACTTGCTATATGGATAGAATTTTGCATTTCATAACCACTTGCTATCACATTTGGTCCCTAGACTTCATTAGGTAACACAAACACATTCGATGGGTAATAATAGATGACTATAGATAGAATTTGGTCACACATGATTCATACAACAACTTCGATCACGACCTGAGGTTGCAAGCCACGTTACCTGCACACTCTTGCATTGACTATTAGTGTTGCACGTGATTTATTTATTTTCGTATTCTCTTATTTAGTTATTGTTCTCGTTTGAATCTCCATATATATATATATATATATATATAGGGACAAGATCAAATGTTAACCAAAAATTTTGTATTAACTTTGCAAACCATGTCAACCAATCACACTCCATTCTTCTATTAGATTTCTATCATGTTCACAATTTAATGTCAAGGGTAATTGAGTAATTTCATTTCCTATGTAACTCACATACCATTAAAGGGGAGTTACAAAATCATAAAATTCCTAAAAATATACATTTATAATATTGATATTTTTATTTATTTTTTAATCTTGATCTTCCATTTTTATTGTTTAATGAGTTTTTGATTCGTGGAGGAAACACGGTAGTAAAATCTTCGGTATCGTTCAAGCTATTATGGATAAACGAATTAGAAAAAAAATCGAAAACATTGAGAAGATTAAAATGGTTTATGGTGACAATCGGATTTCGAGTTCGGGAAGTGAAGAAATTAATCAAAGTGAATGTCTTGATAATGAATTAATATTTTATTAGACTCGTTTTAATCGAAATTATGTTTATTATGATGTGTTGTGTTTTTTGTAGTTCATATTGCATTGATAACTTTTTTTAACTATTAATACCTACCTAATTCACATGTTCAAATGGAAGTACATGCACGACTCATTTTCATATTGTGATATTACCGACTTTTATGAATCATAAATCATTGTGTTCATGTTACTTATATCATATGAATACAAGTGTTATTTTTTAAGCTTGATACCACATCTTTATATTTGTGTAAGTGTTTGCACCCAATGTTCATAGCGTCGGGGTTATGTGTTCATATATTTTATACGATATGAACAAGGGGTGAACATGATATGAACAAGGGTTGAACAATCACATAAAACCAGAAACATATATGAACAAGGGGTGAACCTTAAGCGGTGTGGATGCAATGCATGTATAAAACTTCAGTTGACAAAGGATCGCTTCTGAATGCGTTTATAATTAATGAACTATTGTTCAAAATCTGTTCATATTATGTTCATACCTGTTTTTTTATTTATTTTCTTTCGTATAGCAGTTATTCTTATTATGTTCATATTGTGTTCATAAATGCTATGCAGTCCAAGTTCATATATTTGTCAAAAAAAAATTCATATATATATATATATATATATATATATAGAGTTGTGTTCATATGTTTCTTACGTTAACAAAAATCATAATTTTTTTTGATTTTGTAACTCCCAATTAATGATATGGGAGTTACATAAATTTTTTTATACCTAAATATCTTTTTCAACTTTGTTCACTTATGTTTATGAAATTTTAAATTTTAAAAAAATAAGTATTTATAATGATTAATCACAACCGTTTATTGAAAGGTTGAATGACCAAGATCGATTAACAAAGTTAACACAAAAACTTTGGTTAACATTTGATCTTGCCCGTATATATATATATATATATATATATATATATATATATATATATATATATATATTTGAGTCGTTCTCAAATTAAACTTGTAATTGTCATCAACATATTCGAACCAATTAATCATCCAATATGGTTTGGATTAACGTCATGGAGTCCGAGCTCGAACTCCATGCCATGGCAGCCGTTTGCTGCCAATGTAGCCCCTTTTTGCTTGGATCGTTGAGGAAAAATATGGTTCGAAGTTGTTTCAGATACAAACAAAGAAGTTTTGCAGGGTTGTATTTTGATTCGCCATTCGTCGAATTTGGTTGTCGTTTGTACGACGGCGATGGAAGAACAGTGGAGAACGGAGAAGCATACTCGATTTGAGTTCTGCGAATTCAATCACAATCAAAGTTACCTGTCAAATCTCTTTCATCTTCCTCCTTCAGATCTCGCTTCTCGCAACCGCTTTTGGTGCGTTTTTTTTCTGATTACGATTTTATAGATCTCGTTAACCTTTTCGCTAAGGAAGCCAATTGTAACTACTTACACACACAACCTGTTTGATTTATGAGCAAATGTAGGCAGGTATATATTGAATTTTACATGAATCAATGTAAATTGTGGTTTCTAGCTTTGTTTTGATTTGTTTGAGTAGCATTCCGGTAGCTTTCTTCTTCAGAAGCCAGTTTTTATAATGATTGTTGTTACCGCTTTTGTGATTCACACAAGTAACACAAAATAACTGAACTCAATTTGATATGCGACTTGTTCATGGAAGATTATTACTATTACTTACCGGTTGTGCCTCCTGTTAATATGCCGGCATCCATGAATAAATGAGGGTTCCCAATCTTCAATGAAGGATTGGAGGCCATATGATTTAACTTGTTTTTGCCTTTAAATTCCTTCTAATTTGAAGTACAATTGATGCTAAAAGTAATCAATTAATCCATATCCACTTGAACAACATCCACTAAATTTAACCTTACTATAAACAATTATGATTGGTCGGTTCTAATTGGATCAGTCGATTTCAATTGGATCGGTTGATTTTCTGCATCATTCCCTTTCCCTTATAGTTTTGTATACTCTATTAGGGTTGTTATATGGTCATTAAAGGAGTTATCATGCAACATATAATTATTTTCATATAACATTTCAAAAATATTCTTCAAAACACAGATCTCACCCCTAACTAAATTTATGTTTCTTATGTCTTTTCCTGCCTAACCAACAAGTAATCCAACCAGGCTATCAACAAAAATGACCAAAAGGGATCAAATAAAGGCTATTAACTTTCACACTTGTGGTTGTGCAGGTCAAGATGTTTTTGAAGAAACCAAGTTCTCTTTCTGATCTATCCTGAAATTCCAAAACTTCCCTTTGGAAGAAACCAAATTCTTTTCACTCAGGAACTCCCAAGAAAACCACTTTTCGATCGTTCGATCAACATCATGTACGACCACATTTGTCCCATTTCCAGCTCTTGCAAGAACACCCGCCATATATATGGCGCCCATTCTTCCTGGTGACTCGGGTCCGTCCCCACCAGGTCCATCGACCACAATGATATCCCACTTACTCTTCAGCACCTCTTTCGGGAGCCCGGTTAACGCAATCTTGCATTTGGAGGTTCGCGTTCCTATCCCAGACCGCAAAGAACAACTCGAGTGTGTTCTTGCATGCTTTAGCAACTTGTATGCTTCCTTGGCAGATGTTTTGTACCTGATCCTGAAAACTTGTGTGCCATTGGAATTCCCCTTCATTTTGATTAGCTTTTCCGGTTTGTCCTCTAGGAAAAAGGTGGCACCGCCTTTATTGATGGTGGGTAACTTGAGATATTCATCTTCAAGCCCAAACACAAGAAGATTACAGGGAGCTTTTTGAAGAATAATGTCTGAAAGAAACCGAAGTTCTTTATCAGAAAGTATCTTGTTATGGTAAGTAGAGGGGGTCGGCTTACTGATCTTTGGATCAAGTTGTGGAGATGAAACCATAATCGGGATATACGAAGTGCTGATCGTGATTCTGAGTACTCTGAGGAGGGAGACGCCAACTAGGACGAAAACAAGAACAAGGATCAATTTCCGCTTGGTCAGTCCCATCGTTACGAAGATTTTTGTCGAGGGGGATTGAGATTTAGAGGCGGTTTGGGGGAGATTATGTTGTTTATGTTGCAGGAATGTGTTGTATGTATGGAGTGAAAATGAAGAAATGATGATGTTGTTGCTGTGATCTGAAGCATGGCAAGTGAGTTGTGACCAAACAGCTAGTAATTAGGTTCATGCTTTCAATAGATCTGGTATCCCAATCACACAGGTATTACAACAGTATATCTTTTACCAGTTATACTATCAAAATATAGACGGGTTCAGTTGTGAACTTAACTTCCGTTATGAACGGTAAAGTAAGAGAGAGCGCGTCACATGTCCCGGATGTTCATGGGACGTTCAACATGAACGGTGTATCATTTTTAATGAATGCTGTAAAAATGTCATGTTCATTATTCATGATGAATGGGGACATGTATCGTGCTTTTGTTTGTCCCTTGATTCACAGCGGATGTTAGGTTCGTAACTGAACTTTCTTCTATTAAAATATTCAATACATTTTATAAAATATTATTTCTTTCAAAAATTATTAATAATAATAAAAAAATCATTTTTTAGGAGTTCTTCAAATCTGGATAATTTTACCGTATCTTTCCTATTTTCTCCGTCTTGAAAAGGGTTTTTAGAGATTCTGTCAAAACAAATGATTAGCTCGAAATCTATATTTTCTCGATTTTAAATAATATGTTATGTAGAGTACCTACCCGAATGTAGTGTGAGGCTACATATGTGTATGTCTGAATTGATATTGGAACTCCACCAAAATGGGGCCACATGGGATTGACGTGAAAAATGGGTTGGTATGGTGTTTTCGCCTCTTTTTTAGATCAATTCAGAAGGTAAAATAGGAAACTTTGATGTTGATGCATAAAAGGAATATGGTAAAACCATGATTTAGAATCAACCGGTTTTTGTCAAATGTGGGATATAATAACTCTTGCTAGATTTGTATTTTAATTTTACTTTCTTAAGTTCAAGTTCAAATAAGAATGTGATTAATTTACAAGAAAACGAGTAGTTCTGAATAGGAAGGACACAAGTTATTTAGCTGGGCAATTCAGCCATGGGCTGACCAAATAAGCCCATACAGAACAGCTAGATATGATTGTGCGAATAAGCCATATAACTTATACAGCTCATTAAGTTTTAACCGAACATCCTCTTAATTATGATATATAATTAAATAAATGTTGTGTTGATTTACACATTAGTCTTTAAGTTGTAAATATAAATTTCAATGTTGTGTGTAAAATTATCATTCTTTATTAATGAAAATTTGGTTGCCATGTGGTTATTTTAACAGTAATTATATTTTAGAGTAAATTATGATTTTTGTCCTTGTAGTTTGGTGTTTATGACGATTTTCATCTCTATGGTTCAGAAACTGCTTTTTTCAACTCTGAGGTTTGTAAATCATTGCTTTTTCGTCCCTTAGACTAACTCTAAAAAAATCTGTCAAATGATGGACACTTTGGTCTTTTCATATTTTATCTAATTTTTTATTAAAAAGTTAAACTTAATATCTTTTTAATAGCTCCTTCTCCCTCGTTTTTTAAGCACCATCGTTGACCAACCACCCCCTCCCCCACGTCGACGTCCTCCTCCCCCTGTCTCCTCCATCTTCAGTGTACACAAACACCATGTCCATCCGCCTACAGATACCCCCAAAGATTTCAGGCACTCATTCACTATGTTTGATTAAAGAGAAGATATCCATTGGGTTTTCGTTTTCTAGAAATCTAGGCTTATTTTCACTCTGCCAGAAACATGGAAAGGTTGAACACTGATAAACCTGGAGTGGTGTGGTTTTGTAGTTGTAGTAGTTGTTGGGGGACAGGTCAAGAAAGAGTGAAGAAATAGAGATTGGCGGGAGATCTGGGCGGTGGAGAACAAAGGCTGAAAGCGAACGGAGGTGGAGATCAGAAAAGACGACATTAGCAGCGGATAATGGAGGATCAAGGGGTTGGAGATCAACTAGCGATGGACATCAGCAGCAGCTATAGGGATGGGAATGAGGATGTGACTATATGCCCTGACGGGGACAAAGATGAGTAATTGGGGCCGAGGATGAGAATGGGAATGGAGGTTCCTGCCCCATTCTCATACCTAAACTATAGGGACGAAAAAAGTAGTTTTTAAACTATAGGGACTAAAATCATTATAAACATCAAACCATAAGGACGAAAATCATAATTTACTTTATATTTTAATTTTCACCCCCAAACTGATGACACCCACCTACCACCCTTTGTCACTCACCCACCAGCTTTCAGACTATGACTGCTTCCCCCACATACTTCTTTTACTAACGTCAAAAGTTAGTTAAAAAGAATACACATGAAATTAAAGTAGATACGATACGACCCCTAATTCTTTCCATTCTATTCACACCATAAAACGGGTACATGTGTGTTAGGTGCTCTTAATGCCAATATACATGGAGATGACAGACAGATTTGAAGATGACAAACTGATGGTGACGTTGTAGCGGAAATGAAGAAAGGTTAATTAGTTGGAGGTTCAATTTATCCTGATAAAAAATCGTTTGTGGTGATTACTGGTGGAGGTTTATAACTTATACCATACAATACAATTTTTTTTTGCACAAAACTGTAAATTTTAAATTCAAGATTAATATGTAATTCAGAGGTATAAAGGTTTTTGAAATTTTAACAGTATTATGATCATTTTTCCTTAATGTTATATATAACGTACACAATTCGTTATTAATTAATGCATTTTACATGTAGTTAATTAATATATATATATAAGAAAGTATGCTATTATTTAATACTACAATTTATTAATCAAATATTGTCATTTTAATCCTTTTGATTTCAACTTAAATAAAACGATACAAGAAATAATTAATAAATGCATAAAAAAGCAAATTGATTTATAGAATAAAAAAATGTTGTTAATTTTCTAATATTATATTATACAATAAAAAAAATAGTAAAATAATACATAAATAAATAAATAAAGATGATTAGGTCGATATTATCAATTTAAATTGCAACCCAACGTATACGACGGGTGTGATGTGACCACTATCACCTACAATGCTCCAATGTTTCCATTGGTAATCCAATTTTTTTAAATAAATAAGTATTTAAACATTTCAAAACTTGTTAAATAATTATTTAAATTTTTTAAAATCTGTTAGAGATATTTTTATGACTTATAAAACTGGTTAATATGGTAAAATAATGGAAAAATTCTGAAAAAAAATTAATGGACTTTAATATTTTGAACGATTAAGTCTCTATACATTTTTTGAACTAAAAAAATACTTACATCAAAAAGGTACTTACATTTAAAAATAATTACTGATAAAATTTATTTTTTAATAAAAAATAAAATATATTTTGTATATTATTTTTCAAATTAAAAAAAAAGTAAAAAAAAAAAGATTTCGAAAGAATTACTGATAAAATTTATTTAAAAAATATTTCAAACACTAAATTCCATTGGGTTTTTTTTAGATTTTTTCATTTTATTTTATATTATATTTAATCAAATCCTTTAATTTACTTACTCCGTCTTAAATTATGTCTTCATATTTCTATTTTAATTTGTGTCAAATAAATGTTTATTTTCAAAAGTAAGTATCTACTTTCTTATTTCAACCTTAATAATGAGAGGAAGATTCTCTATATTATTTATAGTAAAAATGTCATTCAGTTAATTAAAAGATGTAATAATTACACATTTCTAAAACAATGTATAATTTTCATTCTGGACATTGATCTCGAGACGAAAGGTGTAAATCATAATAAACAGATTTGAATTAAAATATAAGCGATTTAATTTATTTAAACATTTTAAGCTTGTTTATGAGTTCAGATCTTACACTTATTATTATTCTGTAACTTAAACAAATACTTGGAATATTAAATTTTAGACAGAAACTAATAAAGAAGAGTTGTGGTATGACCGATTCTAAAGTATGCGGTGTCCTTATAAAGTACACATCGTCCTACCAACTTGTCTCTACCAAAAAGCATCTTTCCAACGGCATCCATTTTAGTCGTTGTCAATCTACCATCGTATCCATCGTTGCAAAAGAGAACAAGAACGCCCATTGATTCAGACGTTTTTCGTTACTCCAAAACGCAATTCATCAGTTCCCTAAATAATCGTAAAATGTATGAACGGAAATTTTCACTTTGATCGCTTTGTTGTTCGATTAAACAATGAGATTGTGTAAACTAATTAAAGAATTAGTTTTATAGACTAACAAATACACAATGGAAAACAAATTTTGATATTGCACTTATCATTTCTCGCTCAGTAACGTTCATTTTCATAAAATATAATATTGTTATAGTTATTTTATGAACATGACAGATATATTTGCATCTAAAAGTTGTAAATTGGTTGGAATCTCACAAATTGCCACCAAGTAAAACCTTTCAACTGGGTCGTTGTCGCTTCACCCATCGTTTCCGTTTTCGTTTTCAAAGAAACTATTCGTAAGCACTACGAAAGCATTGTATCACTAAATCTTAACTTTGAAACGGTCCAAATCGATGTAACATTACCATATTATTACCAAATAACTCGTACAAGAATCATGACGTATGTTATTTATCTCACTCTTTTAAGACAATTACTTGTCAAAATGGTTCGTTCCACACTAAGGGGGTGTTTTATTTTTGTTTATCTGAAACAACCTATGTTTTTCTACAAAAGTGTTTATCAACTTATTATAAATTAGAATGGTTTAACTTCTTTAAAAACTCTTTATTACCGGTTTGGCACCGATATAAGTTGTTTATCCACACACTCAAAAATATTTATTACCGGTGTCACCGGATAAATCAATAAGTTATTTTTATAAGTAATTCCAAACACCCCCTAATTATTTAATGCTTTTTCAACTAATAAGTATCAAAACTACAATACATTATATATATATATATATATATATATATAAAAGTTAGTTTGAAGTTGCAAAAACTATGGTGTATTTATTTTGGTCATGAGACGAAACTATTAATTAAGAGTACAGTTTATTTTTGGTCCTTAACGTTTGTCAATTTCAACAGTTTTTGTCCCTTAACTTTATTGTGTTGCTCGCGTTTGACACCTCATTACGATTTCCGTCCCTCATCCTAATGACCGATAACTTCAATTAAATGAGGGGTAATATGATCATTTTAAAATATAGAAGTTAAAGGTATGGTCAATGACGTGGATGATGGTGGGTGGTGGTGAGATTAACAAAGTGAATAAAAGATAATTGATATTATAAATATAAAATACAATATGCTTTTTTTGTTCTTTCATAGAAAAATACAAAATGAATAAAAAATCAAAATACCCCTCATTTAATTGGATTTAACAAAAAAAAGCTAACAATCGTTACAATGAGGTGTGAAACATGAGGGACAGATATGTTAAAATAAAGTTAAGTTTGAGGGATGAAAACCGTTGAAATAACCAAAAGTTAAGTTTACTCGTTTATTAATCAAGAATGGTACCTGAAAAGGGAACAGGGTCGTTTTCTGTAGTCATTTTATAACTTAGAACGATGACGTTTCTAAATTGAAAATGATTAGTGGGTTATTAAACTATATTAAATCCTCAATTGCATAGGCGGAGGTGTAAAAATGTGAACCTAACCCCAACTCGGATCCACAACCAAGGTTCCGAGTCAAACTCCCAACTCACTTCTGACTCGATTGTTTGTAGACAAATGGTGACACTTGTCCGCATCTAATTGGTCGACTGGCTATTATACCCCGACTCAGCCATAACCCACAACTCACCAAATCAACCCAACCCAACCCAACCCAATCCAATCCTACCCTAGTAAACAGAAAACCTTACATTTCTTTAAAAGGTAAGAGACTGTTTCTGTGACAACCCACCGAGTCTAGGACAACTCACCGAGTCAAATGAGGATGGGAAAAAATAAAGAAACCCCAGATGCATAAAGATTGTTTATGGTTAAATCCCTATCAGAAACAAGAAATGAGTAGGATTTGGCTCAACTCTTGACTCGGTCTGTCGTTCTTAAACCCTGTTTCTTAGCAACTTCCTTCCTTCACTATGATACGAGTATAAGAGGTAACAGGTGTTCATAGATGTCACCATATCATCTATAATATTTACCGATTCGATTCGAAGAATCGATATATCTCGGCTTTTGTTTCGGTTTCTTAGATATACACATCTTGTTCATTGATTGAAGACCTTAATCTTGGTTGTTTCAAATGGGAATGAACAATGAAGAATCTCGGATCATTCAAACCAGACCAAAGGTACCAACTTTACTAATCTTTTTGTGCTGAAATGATGTAAACTGACGAGAAAACTCGACATGGATCAGGGGAAACCGGAGCGGAATATGGTGAAATCCCTTTTCATGACAACGGAAAACGGGAGACCAAACAGTATGATCGTGAAGGTGCGTTTTACGTTTTATGTTCTTGAATTCTAGATTTTTGATGATATTGAGGATGGTCTGTCTAATGATGAATTCGAATAACAGCGAGCACATCGGGTGATACCTGCTCATATCATTGCAGAAGCCATATCGACGCTCCATGGCATAGACCTCAGATGGTCGGGGCCGATTACGCCTGCAGAAATGCAATATGTCGAACAATATGTTGTTGCGAAATATCCAGAGTATTCGAACGCATTGGTTGAAGGAAAAGACAAAACCGACCTTTACGAGCTTTGCGTCAAAGAAGAGCCTTCGGAGCCTTCACTCGACGACAAGCGAAAATCCCCACGAGGGGTAATTCGGGAAACGTCTGGAAGCAACTTTCACGATCTCGTAAGAATCGAGCTCGAGCCATCAAGATTGCTCGATATACTCACCAAGAAGTCCTCCTATCTTGGAAGCTTCATATCCATACCTGAAATTCAAGCACGAAACAAAGTTTTAAAGCACTGTGGATTACCCGATAACGAGTATCTCGTTCTCTTCGTTTCGAGCTATAGGGATGCCATGATGTTGGTCGGCGAAAGCTACCCGTTTTTCCGCGGGAATTTCTACATGACGATCATAAACGAAGAACACGACTACATAAGAGCATTTGCGGGCTACAAAGATTCAAAAGTGATATCGGCACCTGAGTCATGGTTAGATCTAAGGATCAAAGGGTCGCAACTCAGCCAATACTTTAGAAGGAAAAGCAAGAACTGCCCGAAAGGCCTGTTTTCTTATCCTGCAACGGTAAACGGGACCAATTACTCGATGCATTGGGTTTCGGAAGCCCATAGAAGCTCGTGGCACGTTTTGCTTGATGCAACCGCAATAGTTATGGGGGAAGATCGGCTCAATTTGACTCTCCATAGGCCCGATTTTGTGCTATGCAGTCCCGATAACACAAGCGCACATCCTTCAAAGATTACGTGCTTACTTGTTAGGCGGAAATCATTCGAAACTACATCGGCACCACAAGCGTTATGAGTAGCGGTTTCTTGTAATCGATTCAACAGTTTACTCCTTAAATTTAGAACCTGTTGGAGTTGGCTTAGCTTGAGGTACTTGACTATATTTAGCATGTAAAATTATTCTCCATAGTAATAAAAGCCATCAAAAGATTGTACCCCAAAGGACCACCTCATACATGTTCAATTAAAACCCCATATAACTATTGTTATGATCTTCTACGGGGTAGTAATTAGACCAACTATGTTGTATGAGCCGGAGTAAGAGCTGGGAGTTGTGTCTATCATGGATATGTTGACTACAGTGGTTTGAACACATGCGCAAAGACCATGGCGGCACCGAGTGGAAAGTATGGTCTGTTGGAGGATTTCCAGAAGGAAAAAGAACAAGAGATTGCGTGTGAGGTCGCTTTCCTTGAGTGATATTTTGACCCAATTCTGCATGGGGATTACGAAATTCACTCGAGAATAATCTCAAATTCTCAGTCCCGGTTACCTTTTAAACTTAGAAAATCGTAACCGCTCCTATAATAATGTTGAGAATAACTCCCCATTAAATGGAAATGATTGCCGGAAATAAGTATTGGGTGTTACCAAACCAGATCAATTACAAAACTGATGAAAACCAATCAGCTGATAACTAATCAATGGGAAAACCATCAGCTGAAAACTAATCGGCTGATGACCCGTCAGTGGCAAAACGCATCGGCTGATAATATATTAGAAGCAAAACCCTTCAGGCTTCAGCTGATGACCTCACAGCTGAAGAACCCATCAGCTGATGTACTACCGATTAGCTGATAAGACAATGACAATGAACGCATAGCCAGCGCTACCATCTGCAACTTAGAAACTCGTCATACAGAGTCATCTCATCCCGGGTTCTAGTTAGCTTATACGAGTGGGCACTCCACACCTCCTAGCTCGAGTTTTAGGCATTTAGGATAGCTAGAAACCCCATTATTCTCAGGTGAATCTAATTACCTAAAATGAACCGATGATTTCAGTAAAATCACCAACATGGTCGAGAGCCCGGTGATGTGGGACGGGCAATTGGGGTGGATATGACAGCCTTAGAAATTTACTTTGAGATAATCCAAATTCACACTTGCTCTAGGGCTAAAACGAGAGCAAAACACATAATTTATGTTATGTCCACCTCTTTTATAGGTACATGTTTACCAGCAGTTACCAGGGGTTATCACGTAGTTACCCACAGCGACTACCAGGCGGTTACAAGGGTTATTGGGTAGTTGCCGGCGGCTACCAGGCAGCAAAGGGCGTTTGCTGATCAGCTTCAGTGATTTAACACCGAACGCAAACACTCATCTGCATCAGTACAGTAACGGAGTAACCCAACACACTCGTTGAAGGTACTAAAGATAACTTTAGGGGTTCTTTGTTTACCTCTTAATAATTCCATTAAGAGACAGTCTCTGAATCGTTAATAGGTGAATCTTGTTTGGCAAAAAAAAAAAGCTTGCCTCTTAATAGTTCTAAAACCCTCTAAATAATTTTGTATCCCGGGCCTCCCTTAACCATTCAGCGCCCTAATTTCGTTGTAAATAGTTACCAAACAATTATATTTCATTTTACACTATATCATGAGAGCCTCTTAATCATTCTGACAACTTAATCATTTTACACCAAACCATTCAGCAACAGCCAAACAACCCCTTAGTGTCAATATACTTAACGACCCCGCCGCAAGGGGGGATCCAGGTTCAACTTATACAAATGTGCTCTGCACAACTTCTAACTCGCATTATAGCTTAACCAAAACCCCTTCAATATCAACTTAAACTCAATTACACCAAATGACAGCCGACACTAAAATCACCAACATGGTCTTCACAAAGACCACCTCTTTTCCCTTTGAAGGTCGAGGTCTGCTTACATCCCGCTCCTAAACAAGATATATTGCCTCTGTTTGGTTTTGTTAATATTTGGCTTTTTGTCACACACAATCTTTCTTTTGGAAGTGCAAACAAAAACCAGAGATTTTGAAGAACAAAAAGTGTCCAAGTACAACCTAATAAGATAGCTAATTAAATGTCTGCAGCATGAACCTAATAAGATGGCTGTATGTATATGCTTACCTCAAGAACATCCAAGGAGGCATGCATGGACGTCGGTTGCTGACTTGTTTGACTGGATGCATAGCCCTTGAAGCCTACAGTCACAGAAGGAAACCAATGCATCTAAAAGAAAACTAGTTTAATCCACAAACGTATTCACAGATGAATGCCAACAAGTTGAATCCTGATGTTGGTAAAACAAGCCAATTATGAGGAAATTTATTTAGGAATACTATTAAAAGAAATGTCGATACACTCTCCTACAATACGTTCTTAAGAACCAGAAGACGGAAATATAAGAGGATACAGCCACGTTATGCGATAAATTACACAACAGAACACTTAACTTCAAATCCAACAAACAGCTCTGCTCAGACATCACTTTTGTGAAGAGGCTAGATGTTACATACAGTGTCTGAAACTAATTTGTGACTTTGAGCTCTCAATATTTCGTTCTGCCGTCGCCTTCAGTGATCACATCCATGAAACCTCCTCCAGCAGGGATCATGGGCAAAACGTGTTCTTGATGTGGGACGATAACATCCAATAAGTAGGGTCCGGAGGTATCCAACATCTTCTGAATAGCAGCTCTAAGATCACCCACTTGAGTCACTCGGGCAGCTGGGATATCACAGGCCTCGGCAAACTTCAACATATTTGGGAAGATTTCCGACTCTTTTGATGGGTTCCCTAAGTAGGTATGCGCCCTATTTGCCTTATAGAAACGATCCTCCCACTGAACCACCATACCCAAATGCTGATTATTGAGCAACATTATCTTAACTGGAAGATTTTCCACTCGAATTGTGGCCAATTCTTGAACATTCATCATAAAGCTTCCATCACCATCAATATCAACTACGATCGCATCAGGTCTTGCAACGGCTGCCCCAATAGCAGCAGGCAGTCCAAAACCCATCGCCCCTAGTCCACCGGATGTTAGCCACTGTCTAGGACGGTTATACTTGTAAAACTGGGCAGCCCACATCTGATGCTGCCCAACTCCTGTGCTTATGATCGCATTTCCACCTGTTAATTCATCAAGAACCTGAATAGCATATTGAGGAGGAATAGCATCCCCAAATGTTTTAAAGCTCAGTGGGTGATTCAATTTCTGTTCATCCAATTCTTTCCTCCAAGACGAGAAATCAAGATTTGTGATCTCACCTTTCCCCTCCAAAATCTTGTTGAGACCCTTGAGTGCTATCTTGATATCACCACAAACAGACACATGGGGTTGCTTGTTCTTCCCTATTTCTGCAGAATCGATATCGATATGAACAATTTTAGCTCTGCTAGCAAAAGCTTCAAGCTTTCCTGTTACACGATCATCAAATCTAACCCCGAACGCAAGCAATAAGTCGCTTTTGTCAACAGCATAATTAGCACAAACAGTTCCATGCATTCCAAGCATTTGAAGTGATAAATCATCGGAAGCTGGGTAGGATCCAAGACCCATTAAAGTACTTGCCACCGGAATCCCAGTAAGCTCCACAAATCGACGCAATTCATCACTTGAATCCAAACAACCACCACCCACATACAAAACTGGTTTCTTGGACTCTGAAATCAGCCTAATAATCTGCTCTAAATGTGAGTCGTTTGGCGGTTTAGGTAACCTAGATAGGTAACCAGACAACCTCATTGGTTCGTCCCATTTCGGTACTACTAATTGTTGCTGTATATCTTTAGGGACATCGATTAAAACAGGGCCTGGTCGACCAGAAGATGCGAGATAGAAAGCTTCACGAACGATTCGTGGGATATCTTCTACATCTAGAACAAGGTAATTGTGTTTCGTGATGGAACGAGTTACCTCTACGATCGGAGTTTCTTGAAATGCATCAGTTCCGATCATTCTCCGGGGGACTTGGCCGGTAATAGCAACGATTGGGATGCTATCGAGCATAGCATCAGCAAGACCACTTACCAGATTGGTAGCTCCAGGGCCAGAGGTGGCGATGCATACACCGGGTAAACCCGAAGCGCGAGCGTAGCCCTCGGCGGCGAAGACGCCACCCTGCTCGTGGCGGGGAAGGACATTGCGAATGGTGCGAGAACGGGTCAATGCTTGATGGATCTCCATTGAAGCACCTCCAGGGTAAGCGAATACGTCGGTGACACCCTCCCGTTCGAGAGCTTCCACAAGGACATCAGACCCTTTTCTGGGTTGGTCAGGGGCGTAGCGGGAGATGAAAGACTCCGGAACAGGAAGCATAGTGGTAGTGGTGGTAGTGGTGGGCTTAGAGTTGGATATGACATTGGAGATGTGAAGGAAAGGATGGCGCTTTTGAGGATTAGAATAAATAGGAAGGGTAAAACGAGGGAGAAGAGTCATACGAGGCTGGAATTGCGTAGAGAAGGAAGGAGGCTTGGCGGAGGCGGAAGGGTTGGGTGAAGCGACGGCCGCCATTGTTGATTGATCTCTAGGGTTGGGTTGGAGTGTGTTTTTTTTTTCTGGTTGAAATAGAGAAGATGACGACGGTAAACAGAGGTTTGTCTTTACTTAAATTTTTGTTTTTTTTTTATGCGCATGTCTTTTTAAAACCACACTAACAATATCAATAGCCACCTATTATTACTCTTAGTCATTTTGTTTTATTTTTTATAAAAGATATTTATTTATTATTATATAATTTATAATATTTATATTAAAGTCTTATTATATTATATTATTGTCAAATATTAGCAGATAGATTATATTACTTATGGTCTTTTCTAATTATGGTTATATTATTACATTATTATATAGGGTCTTGTTTTCTGATTTTGGTCTTTGAAATTTATTAAATAAATTAGTGCTTCCCGGAAAAGTAACAAATTATCATTTAGGTAACGTTTGGTTCGCAGACTGGACTGAACAGGACGAGACGGGAGGAGACGGGACGGGGCGGGACAAGACTAATTGTCTGTCCTATGTTTGGTATGACTAGGACATGACAAAACTGTTAAAATGACCATATTACCCTTAAATATTGTTCAATGTTATTTTATATCATATAATAATTGTAAAATAACGATCATAAATTAGCTTATTTTTTAAGTTTATTGAAAAAAAAAACTAGATTACTATAACGTTATTTCAAATAGCGTTTTTATTGATTAAGTTTTCCATTTTGTTCATATCATGACCTTATTACCTTGCCTAAATAACATCAAGTATATTGAATTTTTTAATGAATTTATCATTAATTATTCTAATAATAATATTATTATTATTCTGATTTATTATATTAACTTTTTATGGTAAGCAGGACTTGAGAAGTCTTGTTTTATGCCAGATTTCTTTGGCAGTGTATATGGTTGTTTGTTGACCAACGGAAAGCATAAGAGTTGTTGGGGATTAAACTCATCTGAGCCACTTTAGAATTTAAAATCTCTCCGATAAAATAACAATCAACTTGTATGTGTTAAGCAACAGCGAACGTTTCTTTTGAGTCGGATCAAACATTTCTTTGACTATGATTTGACCCATAGTAATGGAACCAATAAAAATAATAAAAAAATAGATAAATATATTACATTACACTATTCTGTTGTTTTATTATTTATATTATTATTCATTTATTTATTTTTTAAATTAAAACCAACATATTACATTATTTTCATATTATATTTATAATTTTATCAACATATACATTTGTTATTTTAATGATTTGTTTTTAGGGTTGGTTTCCGTTGAAAATGAGAGTTAAGATGAAAAACATAAGAAGAGGTCTTCCTTCTTAAATGTACATTAGGATGAGATGCACCGATATGCACCTGATCAATCCCTATATTAAGCGCGATTGATCGGTGAGTTTGAGATTAAAGGTGATCAAGGGTCCAGATCTCTTACGTTTCTTTTAACTCTCTTTCTCACACGATCTTTCACCTTTGTTTTATCCCTTAAATGTTGCTAGTAATATAGTATCATCAAAGACTTCTTATGTCGATGTTTCCATCATCAATAATCATGTGATTTTGCCGTGATAAGGTTGTGATAAATCCAAAACCAGCGATGATCACGTCCACGATCACCAGCTTTGTCTATTCATTATGTAATTTGCAGTTTTTTTTTTCATTTTACCCTGTATGCCTTTAATATTTTTTTTAAATGGTAAATACTTGTTTAATATTTTACTGCTCTCAAACCTTCTAATGACTTAAAATAGAACAAGAGACTTGTAAGTTTTCTCACATTTACATGAATCAGAAGTATTCTTATTTGAAATGTTATGTATTAGGTGAAGTATATGTATCTCACGTTTAAATTGAAGGGTATAATTTTCACGTGCACAAAGAATAATAAAATGTTTTCATCTTATTTTTCCATGACATGAAATAAAAATATATAGCATTTAACATTTAGAAATGAAAGCTAATGATCACGTGAGAAGAGAAGTTATAGTGAGAAGTTTAAGAATAGATCTGAATTTTCGATCAATTTTAATCTCATGCCCACCCATGAGTTAAGATTTACAAAAAAATTACTCTAGTGCATCTTGGTAGACCTCATTAGTGTTGACATTCAATTAGTATTCATCCAATGATGAAAATCTCTTCTTACTTTTTTTTTATCATAACTTCCTTCTCACCGAAACTATATATGAAATGGATTACACAACTTGTTTGCTACAAAATTAGGGAAGTGAGCGATATAAACAAACAAACAAAAATAACTTGACTGATGCTCTTTTGATTATGATTTCCCAAATCTTTGTGGGTCCATTTTTACTCGATTCTACATCACATATGAAATTATTTAAACCTATTTTGTTTTCTTTTATGCTAATTATGCATTTGATAAACGACCCTTCCTTGAACCATTTCGAGTTGCCTCCTACATTTTCTAAGTGTGCGTCTTTTTCTATTATGCACGCTCTAAACAACCGTCAAGTCGATAAACTTGGGGATTCTCATTTTCATAAAATTAGACACTGTCTTTGATTATTGGTTAAATATGTGAAGCTTATAAACCAAAATCCATGATATTAATCATTTTTTATCTCATTTTCAGTGATGAGATCCATTGCTAATGACTTTTTCCAGCAGGTTACGATGGATTTTTCCCTCAGTGAAGTCTCTTTGTGTTTGTAGTGATATCAGTAAGTAAAACATACTATGTTTTTCATTCAATAAAGGAAAAGATTATAACTTTTGTTAGCAAACAAACACGTTATATATAAATTTATAAACAAAAGACCGTTCTTGATTTTTTTATATTAAACTTTCTTGTTTGAAATGTCTTAACGTAAACGCTAAAATAAAGCTTTTCAAAATATGATACAAGTATATTTCAATTGATGTCCCAATATATGCATATTTGTTTTACGTAGCCGTTTAAGCACGTGTAATGTATGTTTTTCGGTATCATATATCGTCGTGAAAAGACAAGTTGGTATTTGTGATGCAATGTTTAAGATGATATGCTTTCGAATTGTTTTATCTTGAAAACAATGAACTCGTTGAGCAGATTAGCTTTCTAGCAACGTGTACTCAGGGAAAGACACGACTGCTGGTGGCAAGATAGAGGAGAAATTGTAGATGCATACAAGATCCAGTCATACTGACCACTTTATTTTTCAATATGTTGAGAACCGTTTGTACTTAGACTTATTTCCCTTTAAGTCATTTGACATTGTTCGCTTAGAAAACAAAAGGGTTTGGATCGATGATCAGACGAGTTCCATTGTTCAAGATGGAAATTCTTGATAGCCTCTAGCTGGTCTCCAACTAATTCTTTTCGAATACGTAATGACTAGTTTTTTAAAATCACAATTATAATAAGTTAAAACACAGAAAATAGGTACACGCTTTTATCATTAATCACTTTAGGTTGGTTTTTATACGTTATTCCGCTTGTGGATACCTAATATTAGGTTTCCCGTTAACTGATTTGTGAGTTGTTTGACTTTATGTTTGATTGGTTTTAACTCATCGTTTCAGTGGCATTGTTGGGAAGATTAATCGTAGGCTTGTTTCCCTTAATTTTTTTATGTTAATCAAATGCCATGAAGTTTAACTGCTTCTCTTAATTGCTTAATACACATTGTTAAGTCATGTCTTATACTGGTTGTTAACAAAAAATGTAATTGATAAACTGATCATGTTTAAAAACCTAGTTAATAAATTAGTTGACAAATGTAAAACGACAAGAAAATATGTTAGAAATTACATAATTATAAAAGTGAATAATATAATTAAAACAAACCAATTAATTTATTTCATCACATTAAATAAGTAGTAACAAAAAATAAAAGGTTTTTCATTTATATAGGTTTGTTGAAAAAATCTTTATCATATTAAAATAAATAGTTCAAATCCAAGTAGAAATAAAAATTTACTTGTGGTCACGGAGGTTCAAGTTCGGTGACTACGGGCTACCCGCAAAGTAGATGACTGCCTTAAGATTAGTCGGCTCACGTAGCGAATTGGATATCGAGGTTAATAAAAAAATAGTAACAGTAATAAAGTATTATCCATTTAATGGAGAAACTATTAATATATTTTAGCACAATAAAATAATTTAGTGGCAGAAATATTATAGAGATATATTTTTATTCATGAATATTTTATAGTAGTTTGGTGAAAATAAAATAAAATAAAATAAAAATATTAATAAATACATAATTAAATTAACACCCTTAATAATTTATTTTCTTTTATTCTAATTTTTACTAGAAGTGTACTCGCGCAATGCAGCGAGATACATCGTGATTTTAATATTTCATTTTATTCATTATCTCAGTCGATGTTATAATATGGCTTTATGTGATTTTGAGAAAGCGGTGATGTTTTTATTTTTGAATAAAATATATGTTTGAAGATATCATAAAAATTTGACAAAAATATATCGACATTAGTATCAAATT